TTTTTTATGGCTGCCTGTCTGTGGTTATGGTGACTTAAGTTTCTGTATTTAAAAGGTAATGTGCCGAAGCATTGTCCTCTGTAGGACCAACGATGTTGCTAGTGTGCTCTACTGCTGTGACTTCATATGGAGCTGTATTTTCCCACCTCCACTTGAATACTGCCTCTTACTCTTCCAGCCTAATTAGAAGAGTTGTAGAGCCTGATGGACACACACAGGGTTGGAGTTGGTCCTGATCCTCTTTCTCTGACCCTTGCTTTGTGTGTATACTTCTTGTCTCAGAAGGAACTAATAGTGTGGACTGATTTGAGTCACATTTGAGGGTTAAAGAATCCATAGAGATGAGCTTTGAGACTGTCCAGTATTGCCTTTTTCCCCAGACTTGTTAGGGTTGGGGCCTAATTACAGATTGGGCACAAATTCAAGAGAAGTGATAACTTTATGAAAAGTCACATCTTAACAGAAGCTAAAATGTTCTTAGGTTATCTTTTTGTAGACATCTAAGAATGCAGAGGGAGAGAAGGGTCTAATTGAGACTGCCCCTCCTCCAAACAATGTTTTGGCAATAGAATGAAGGTAAGCAAGAAAGGCCTTGGCCTACACTCCCTTCCAATAAAAAATTCTGATAATTACTGTTAACATTTTGGCATTTTTCCCCTTCTGATTAAAGCGGGCAGTGAGAAGTATCTTTGATTAATGGTTTATTTGCATTACCTTCTTCTTGTTCTTTTTTGCTTCTCCCATCATCCTACCATTAGGGCAATAGCCTTCTGTCCTTCCTGGGTATAAGGTGGTCTTAGTCCAACAGATTCTCTGAGGGAACATAACTCCTTTTTAGGGAGAAAAATGCTCCCAACCATGATAGTTCACAATGGTTAGGAACACTTTTCCCCTTTCTGCCTTTCCTCTAATAGCAAAATTCCTATCCTCTCTTTAAGTGTGTTGATCACCCTATAATCCTATTATGTATCTGAATGGGAGTGTGTGTGTGTGTGTGTGTGTGTGTAGTGGGGAAAGGGGCTCTTTAAATATCTGGTTTGTGGCTTTTTTCTTCCATACATTAGTTCATACCGCCGCATGCCCAGGGGCCACTGCCTGGCATAATCACATGCTAGGAACATTGGGGGAGGGTAGTGAAGCTCACTGCTGTCCTTTGGTTTTTAGATTTTTTTAAAATTTTTTTTGCATAAGTAGTCCATCCTGTATAGATAGATGACTAACTGTGTATTCCCTTTGCCCCTATGGCTGCTGTTGTAAATAAATTGCATCTCCCCATTGGTAAATGGTAATAATAAACAAAATTTTAAAAAATGAAAAAAAAAAGAAAAAGACCTCAGAAGCACAGGCAATCAAAGCAAGAATAGACAAATGGGATTACATCAAGCCAAGAAGTTTCTTTACTGCAAAGGAAACACTCAACAAAGTGAAGAGGCAACCAACATAATGGGAGAAAATATTTGCAAACTATGCAAATGATAAGGAATTAGTATCCAGAATCTATAAAGAGTTCAAGAAACCCAACAAACAATCCAGTCAAGAAATGGGTAAAGGACTTGGACAGGCAGTTTCCAAAGAGTGAAATTCAAATGGTGAACAAACACACATAAAAATGCTCAAGATCAGTAGTCATCAAGGAAATGCAAATAAAAACCACCATGCAGTTTCACCTCATCCCAGTTAAAATGGGTATCATATAGAAATCAAAAAATAATAAATGTTAGTGAGAATGTGGGGGAAAGGGTACCCTAATTCACTGCTAGTGGGAATGTAAACTAGTACAGCTATTGTGGATGACAATATGGAGATTCCTCAGAAATATGAAAGTAGATTTACCATATGACACAACCATTTCCCTTCTGGGAATTTACTCAAATGAAATGAGATCAGCATATGAAAGAGTTAGCCATACCCTCATGTTTATTGCAATTCAATTCATATTAACTAAGATATGGATTTAACCCAGATGTTTAACCAAAGACTGGATAGAGAAAGTGTAGTATATAAACACTATGAAATACTACTCAACCATATAAAGAATGAAATCCTGCCTTTTGCAACAAAATGGATGCAGCTGTAAACCATCATACTTAGTGAAATAAACCAGTGTCAAAAAGACAAATACCATGTTTTCCCTGATCTGTGGTAACAGAGTACAAAAAAAATGTAATGTATATGAGCAAAAAAAAAAACCCACAGTTTTTAAAATATTTTAAAAAAATTTTTTTAATTCCTTACTTAGTACTGGGTAAAGCTTATGGTTATAAACTAAACTGAAAATATGTCATTGTAAAAATTAAACAAATAAGAAAAGAGAGAGAAAGGAGTGTGGGAGCACAGGCAGGAGGGAGGATACGGTGGAAAGCATCACTACGTTCCTGAATCTATAAATGTGAAATACATGAAATTTGCTTATCTTACATAAATACTTATAAACTAGTATTTATTTAAAACCTAAGTGAATAAAGAAATCCATGAGCTTTTACCCTTATAGCTTATGTGTCAAAGAGAATCTGGCCATCTCCTCATCATTTCTCATTGTATTGGATTAGTCAGGTTTTTTTTTTTTTATCATCACAACTAAATACTAAGACAAGCTACTTATAAGGGAAGTTTATTTTAGCTCATGGTCTTGGAGGTCTAACATCTGATGACAACAGGGGACAGCAGAACCCATGCTGAAGCAGGATCACATAGTGAGTCAAGAAGCAGACAGGATGGCTGGTCCTGCCCCAGGCTTTTAGAAGCAGACTTCAAGAAAATTATCTTCCAAGTGTGTTCTCAATGTCCCAAGGACCTCCTACCAAGCTCACCATGCAGATACATAATTTGATTAAGCCTTCACTCTATTACTACCAACAATCCATGACTTTGTACTTAAATGTCTGCATGAGATGGGGAGCCATTCACTTTTTAGTGATTTATTTATTCATTTATTAGTCAAAGGGCAGAGTGGGAGGTGAGGAGAGAAGGAGAAATTTTCCATTCATTGGCTTGATCCCCAAATGGCTGCAACAGTGAGGTTTGGACTAGGCTGACACCAGGAGACAAGAACTCCTTCATGATCTCCCACGTGGATTGCAAGTGGGTCATCTTCCAGTGCCATCCTACATGTACTAGCAGGGAGCTGAATCAGAAGCTGAACAGTCAGGACTCAAACTGGCAGCTTAAACTCAAACTGGGAGACATAATTGGCAGCTTAACTGCTGAACCACAACTTTGGTCCCTCCGTCTTCTTTCCAGAAAGGGTGATTGGCACAGGTATTCCAATTTCCTGACTCCCCCCCCACCACCCTTGACAGGCAGAGTTAGACAGTGAGAGAGAGAGAAAGGTCTTCCTTCCATTGGTTCACCCCCCAAATGGCTGCTATGGCTGGCGCGCTGTGCCAATCCAAAGTCAGGGGCCAGGTGCTTCCTCCTGATCTCCCATGCGGGTGCAGGGCCCAAGGACTTGGGCCATCCTCCACTGCACTCCCGGGCCACAGCAGAGAGCTGGCCTGGAAGAGGGGCAACCGGGACAGAATCCAGAGCCCCGACCAGGACTAGAACCCGGTGTGCCGGCACCGCAGGCGGAGGATTAGCCTAGTGAGTCGCAGCACTGGCCTCCCATTTATTTTTAACACTTCATTTTTACAAAAGCTGTAGTACACTACTTTTGAAATGAAATTGTATGTGCACCTTTAACATAAATACAACTCCATTGTCTTAAATGTGGAGGAGATCACTCTCCTATCCATTGCCTGCTCTTGCTTGTCCACCATTTCCCTGAGTCACCACTAGAAGACTCAAAGCTCTGCACTCAAGTATTTGCAGGGAGATGGTCAGGGACACCTGGGATCTCTGGAAGCCAGCAATGAATTTCTGGTCTGTGTTTTAGTTGATTCTCCAATGTATTTGACTATGGACAACTACAAGTAAAACAATAATGGTAAATATACTATAGTTATCTATAAATGGAATTATTAATAATTACACAGATTTTTTCTTCCTTGCC